CGTCGGGACGTATGTCCGTTCCTACGAGGACCAGATGGACCTCAGCCATAGCTAGTTCTTCGACTGCTATGTCGCTAGGGCCAACTCCTCGGTGAGGGGCTCCTTATACCCCATTCCTAGGGAAAGGCGAGGGATCGTCGTCATTCCCAGCAAATACTCGCACCGGGATGCCAACTGGTAGAGAAAATTCTTCTTCTTTTGGGTCTCGCCGGAGACGGTATCATTGTTGGACGGCTTTCTACGGATACCGACCCAATTTTGTTTCAGCATCAGTAAGTGTAAATTCGTATTTTTGACAGATCTTGACTCTCTTGTCTATGTCTTTTGATATAACCGACACTTCTTGCACAGAGAACACTTCCTCGGCCTCTCTCACGGCTGCGACGTCCTCTAGGCTAGCGCTGCTCCGGAGGGTCAGGATGGTCTATAGCTGGCACGCCCGGCAGCGAGCTACCTTGGCCGAACTGGCTAATGCCCCGGCCGCCGCTGCCCCTGTTCGGGTTGCGGCCCTACCCAAGATTTTCATCAGACCTCCAGCGCCTCCTCCCTCAATCAGCCAGCGAACTCGCTCACATGCCGCCCATATAGGGCCTTCGAGTTCTGCCAAACCTCGAGGTTGCCAGCCAAAAGACCGACCCCTGTGACGATCCCCCCCGCCGCTGATGACGCCGGCTCCTCCTCGACCACCCCGTCGGGAGAGCATTTGAAGAGGAGGAGAATATCGACCGGGGACAGGGCTACGCCTTCCATCCCTAGCGATGGTAACAATGTCGCGACTTCAACCGGGAGGCTGCGGATAATTCTTGTCGATCCGGCGATAAGTTCTTCTGACGAGATGAGCTCCTCTGTGGATGGTGGCGGCGCTTTGCCCGGGGCTCGGGATCCTCCGGGAGCGTTTGAGAGTTTCCTCCGCCAGGTCTCCTAGTCGCGGCTCCCCCTACTTCGGTCGAACCTACGGCTCCCCTGCTGCTCTTAACTAACGAGGATCCAGGTCTTCCAGCCAGGAGCCCTTTTTGTGAATCTTTCCGCCCCGAGGGATCGCATCATTCCCCATGTGAGATTGCAGGGACCTCCACAGCATGGGATTCTAGGGGAAGGAGGGCTCTAGGGGAGCCTGAGTAGCTTCCCGAGCTGCCTGAGCGGCGTT